ATGGCACGGAGGCGCTCCAGTACAACTGGCTCGTCGTCGCCGTCGACCTTGAGCAGTTCGGCGGCAAGGAGGTCGGGACCAACCGCCTTCCAGTTCCCCAGGCCTTTCGTCGCCGCCTCAACCTCCTCGAGGTCTGGTACCGCCGCCAGGTGTCGGGTGGCGCGCGTCGCTGGTCGCTGCATCACCTGTTCGACAACGTCTGGGTTCAGAGTGGGGGACTTGGAGTTCAGGAGGGTATTGAAGAATCTCCGCCACCGCTTGAGGATGGCATCCTTGTTCCGGAGTAGCACGCCGTTCTCGTCTGTAACGAACTGCTGCCCCCCAGCTTGTCTCCCGCTGAGGCCCGTTGACCGCTTGAGGTGTTGGTACAGTGCCGCTTTTAAAACCCGCTTTCAAACTCCCAATCAGGTTCGTTCAAATGCGGTCGTTTGGGCCAATCAGAGGCGCCGCTTTTAAAAAATTCATCCGCTCTCTCGCTTGGGGCTCCGCAGTGTAGTCAGGTATGCGGAGGGGTGCTAACCGGATGAGGGGAGGGTCTCCCCGACAGCCGAGCGAGTTGCTGTGGGCACAGCATCAGGGGACCTCCTCGTCACGGCGCTGCTATCTGACCCTGCGCTACGCCAAGATGAGACGGGCCGCGGGAATCGGTTCTCCCAGCCCGGCGCTTGGTTATGGTTCGAACCGCATCGGCAGTATGGAGGGAGGAGGGAGCATTATGGATCCGGAAGCTGCTTCTGCTGGCACCGCATTCGGTACCGGCGCTCCGAAGAAGGTGGGTACAGCCGTGGCACACCTGCCGTCTTTGCGGCGGGGGTGCCAAGCTGGTATTAATATTTCCTTTGTGCATGCATGTTGTAGTGGTCGTCGCACGGCCTGGGCGTTGTGCTCTGCAGATACCCCGCACACTGGCCTGTAGATGGAACGTTTCCCCTAAGCGGGGTAATTTAGGACGGAGTACCACGTTATCTTATAGGTAGACGTACTGGTTGGTTCAGTTCTCTCCCCGATGTACGCATGCTTCACGGTGTGCTCACACCCCCCTTACCTCTGCCTCCCGCAGATGACGGGTTCACCTGCAGTGCACTGATAAGAAGGGTCGGGCTGTGTTTGCCTCGTATTGCATATATAGTATCAGCGATCTGATGGTCAGCATATGTGGGTACACAGGTGACAAAGATATGCATACGCCGCGAGTGAGTCGTTTTTGTTTTTACTGCTTAAGTCCGGGAGGTCGGTCTCGACAACACGATAGGCACCACACACCACCACATATGTGCTACATGCAGGGCTTGTCTGGGTCGGGTAGCCAGACTCGGCGTACGTTGTTAGCACAAGCAGCCGTTCTTGGCTATCATCGTTGTGTCGACACCGCCTTCCCTGCTCCACAAAGCTCGCAACAGCAGTAGTCCCCAGCAATGAGCCAAACATGTTTACTGTAGCAACGGCGGTTCTGCCCATCGTCCAGCAGTCCTGCCCGGGACAAATACATAAAAATCCCCCAAGATAAAAAAAAATCTCCACAACGTTGGTGCCTCGTACGATGGCTCCTGTTGTTGTCGGGGACAGCAGACTCCGTCTACCCCTCTCCGCCCTTACGATGCTTACAAGCGATCCCTACCCCCGCCCCCCCTCTCTACTCTCTACCCAGTCGAGATTATCGCCGGCCTACCCCAGGCTGCCGGTCAAGACGGCACCGGGCCTAGCTGCAACGGTGGTGGCGACTCTCCTTCTCGGGCTCCTAATGCCCTCTGGAGCCAAGCCCATCATTCTGGTGATGGGGTGCTGCAGCGCGGGCATCTTGGTAACCGGGTGGCTGGCGGATAGCGTATTGAGCAAAGATGATGGGACACCGGCCATGCGCGCCGTATCGGACCCGATCAAGGTCAGTCAGCCAAGAAGGACCAGAACGTAGAGGCAGGGACTATGGCAAGGGCGGGTCGTGTGGTGCAGTGATCGCCACTAATGGCTGTGATAACTTGCAATACATGTGCTGGGATGTTGGTTGGCGGAGTTGAGTGTCGGTTCTGCGCCGGTGTATGTCCAAGTGCTTTTTTGCGCCATAGGGTCTCTTTCCCCCCAGTGTTGACCTACTTCAATTTTCTGGAGGAATGTGTTGAATAAGGTGTCTGTCACGTCTCGCCAGATCCCTCGCCATCATCGCACAACACCGACTCACCTCTAGCTGTCTCTCACTCTCTCTCTCTCTCCGTGTGCGTATCTCGACTACGTGCGTTGTATGTGACCCAAAGGAGGGAGCCGAAGGATTCCTCAAGGTGCAGTACACGGCCATTGCAAAGATCGCCGTCTTTTTGCTGGTATTCATCGTGATGAGCTACGTGCTAAGACCGACGGGATCTTCAGAGGTGCAGAACGCCGGTGTGCGTCGGGTCGGAAACACGACGCTGGGCCTGATCAGCGGGGCCTGTTTTCTCGTCGGAGCCTTGTGTTCCGCAGCGGCCGGGTACATCTCCATGTGAGTACTTGCAGCTCCATCAAGAGCGACGGGACTTGTCCATGTCCGCTTCTGAAAACAATCGTCCCGCCAGTGTGTGCTTTTACGCTGCTCGAATCCACGCTGTCTCCGGTTGTTGAACCTCTGTAACGACTTTGTCGTATCTCACGTATGTGTGTGTCTTGAAAGTGACCCTGTCTTGGGGTATTTGCTTCTCTTGTTGATGTTGACGACACCACAGGTGGGTTAGCGCACACGCTAACATCCGTGTAGCTAGCGCCGCCCGACGAGGGTACGGCGAGGCCTTGGTGATTTGCTTCCGCGGCGGTGCCTTCAGTGCCGTCCTGGACATCACGCTGTGCGTCGCGGGGGTGACGCTGCTGTACGTGGCCCTCTACACGTGGTACGTGGCGAGGGGGGTGCTGGACGACACCGACGTTCCCGTTCTTATGGTTGGCTACGGCTTCGGAGCGTCGTTTGTGGCGCTGTTCATGCAGGTGGGTGCAAGGACCACCAGGGGCGGGCAGGACTTCTGAAGAGGGACTCGAATAAGACCAACCCCAAGAGGACATGCACAGAGTGGCGGGGCTTGGCTGTTGGGGTAGCACTACTGAGGATAGGGGCGGTTTTAGCTGTTGCGTTTCTGGGCGTGGGGGAGGGGGGGGGGCACTGCTTTGGGTGACGAGAAGGGCATTGAAAGGTGAAGAGCAACGGGCCCAGGGTGTGGGTTGGTGTAGTGATGGGGTGCCAAGCAGCAAACTACGTACCATGTTTTTGGCACCAGCACGCGCAATCTGATCATACCATGTGCTACAGAGGTGGCGGGACCTAGTTCCTCGTCGAGAGTTCCCCGTTGCCGGGCACCAATCCCGTCGTTTGCTCTACTGTGTGCTGTTGATGATACCGTTTGCGCCGCCCGACCCACTCGCTTTTCAGCTCGGTGGCGGCATATACACCAAGGCTGCGGATGTCGGCGCAGACCTCGTCGGCAAGGTGAGGGCTGAAGGCAACAACAGCAGCAGTGTTGACGGAGGTGGTACCCGATGTGTTACATCTGGCCCGCTTTCATGCCGATGGCGTACTCGTTGAGTCGGTAGTGACGAAGCAACACCATCCCTGCTCCTCGTCAACCCACGCTTGGTCCTTGTTTTTTGCGACCGAACGGCTGGGCACGCGGGTCACCGAAAACGTCACCAGCATCATCACTGGCGGAAAATCGACCACAGCCAAGGCTATGCATACATCTCCGCGTTTTGTCGTCGTAGCAAAGAGGAAGACCCGACACACAACCCCCACCGCACACGCATGCTCATACATCACTCCCGCCACCCTCTCCGTGCGGTGCCAAAACACTTCATCTTGCGACGAGGGAAGGTGGAGACCGGCATCCCGGAGGACGACCCCCGAAATCCCGCCGTGGTGGCGGACTTGGTGGGCGACATGGTCGGGGACTGCGTGGGGAGCAGCGCAGACGTGTTCGAGAGCGTCGCGGCGGAGATGATAGGAGCCATGATCCTAGGGTCTACTCTTGCCAAAGAGGTGCGCCTGCAACACGAAGGATGCTATCTACGGACGGTACCCTTTCCGATTGTAGGCCGCAGTGGTTACATCTTTTGTACCGCTTGCTTCCGTGGGTATCATCCTAGCGGCGCGCTGCTGCTCGTAGATTCTCTGTGTTTGTTTTGGTCTGTGTTCTCTTAAGCAGGGTTTCTCAATATCGGTGGCGTTGTCGTTGGTTGAAACCTCTTCCCCTACGCTGCGTCCGCGGCCCTCTGTGCTTGTTTTCTCTCTTGGTTTTCCTCGGACCGGGGCAGGCGTCCCTCCCTTCGGCCGTGCCGTTCATATTCTTCCCGGTAGTTGTCCACGCCATGGACATCGTCGTCAGCTCTGTCGGGATCCTTTTCGTGACCGCTGCTGCGCACTCCGTCACGAACCCGATGGACCAACTCACTCGCGGTTACAGGTGCCTGGCCTCTTTTGTCTATGGATTTTGTTATTGGCGGCGACGTCGTTGTCGCCGTTGTTGACCACGGAAGGGTTACGAGTTAAGAGACCGGCGGTTGCGAAGTTGTTTTGGTGGTGCTGTCTTCTGTGCTGTCGACTGACACCGCACCTCTCGACCGGTGGAAGGTCTAGGTAGCCATTGGCGAGAGTTTTAGATGCACGCCAGCATGATTGCCGTTCGCCCCTCCTGTGGTGCTGCCCGAGGTGGTAGATTACCATCTCCTGCCATCCTGCTATCCTTGTGCATGCATCATGTCGGAACGAAGAGATTCACTTCACGTGTGCTGTCTGCTGTTTCAAGTTGTGACGCACATCGCTGCCAACCGAGTGCTAGGCGTCGCTCATCCGGTCGCCTCCTCACATGTGGCTCCCACTACCCCCCCGCGCCTGACCTATCTCCGGTAATGAACAGAGTTAGCTTCGCGCTGGCGCTCACTGGCTTCGCAATCATATCGCGCTGGCTTCTGTACGTGGAGGACTCTCCGTCAGCGTGGCTACACTTCTTCGGGTGTGGGATAGTGGGCATGGTCACGGCCTACGTCTTCATTCTCTCCACGCAGGTGTGATAAATAGATAATTGGGTGCACACAGCAGTCGCATTTCGCGCCCAAGTTGCCTTGTGAAAATGTCGTGCGCAAGTGGTCGTGTGTCCAGGTCACACGGCACCATTCCACTTTCCGAAATGTCAAGAAAATTCGTGTGCAATAGTTGAAAGGAGTCCTACCTTTCTTCCTGGATGGCTCCTTGCTCGCTAATAATGACTGTTCGTGTGTCAACACCTGTTGCGTGCGGACCTCTCTATATCGAGCCGCTCCCGACTGCTGTATCGCCGAATTAGTAATGCACGGGTGATGAACCCGGGGTCATGCCGTTGATCGAGGTTCGTTGGGTAAAAACACCAATCGGGAGACGAACCCATGTAAAACATGTCAAGTTTATCTGAATAGCTCTCCGGAGTGAGGATGGCCCCGAATGTTACTATTATTTCTCCATGTCTCATGTCTCACGGGCCGAGCCTACACTCCTCCTGACTTCCCGGCACAAAGTGTTGAGTCCCCATGCCGCCCACTGTCTTTCGCCCCACTGCCTCGTCCCTGCCGAAACCTCCCTCCCTCCCTCCCTCCCTCAGTACTACACCGACTACGTGTACGCGCCCGTGAGAAGCATCGCGGAAGCAAGTACCACGGGACACGGGACAAACATCATCACGGGTGTGGCCGTAGGTATGAAGAGCACGGTCATCCCCTGCATCACCGTGAGCGTGGCGGTTATCGCGGCGTACCACCTAGGCCGGACCTCGGGCGTGGGGGAGGGGCACAGCGCTGGGATTTTCGGGACGGCGGTTGCGACCATGGGCATGCTCAGCAGCGCCGTGTACGTGCTCTCGATGAACAACTTCGGTGAGCGACCCCTCAGTACTGATGCAGGGCTATCTTTGTTTAGTTCACACGTGGAGTTGCACCATTGAAGTTGTTTCGCCAGCGGAAGAGAGGCGTGATGTACGTGTACAGTACGATTTTGCCGGACAGAGTTTGATGTTCGGCCGCGCAGGCAGCACTTGGCGCCTTTGATAACCTCCCATTTTGGTCCACTATGTATACACCCTCGCTGTTACTCGTATTGTGCCACTTTCGTATCTCCCTGGAAAAGGTCCTATCGCGGACAACGCCGGCGGGATAGCGGAGATGAGCCAGCAGCCGGAGTTCGTTAGAGAAACAACCGACCGCCTCGATGCCGCCGGTAACGTGACAAAGGCCATCACTAAGGTCAGGACCGGTTAGCGAGGACTTGGCTCATTCTGGAAGGATGCCGGTCGCTAGACATGGTACTGTAAGATTGCGCGGAGGATGATGGAAGTGAAACTCTGGCAGAAGCATGTCGCAGTGATGAGAAGCATTCCGCCAACTTTGTTGCTACATGCCCTGCAAGTTTCAGGAGACGCTCCGTGTGTACAGCGAGCTATTTTCTTGTTCCAATACTGCTGCGGGCTCCGTGGTTTTTGCTTTCGACACCTGAACGGTTTCATCGCGAGCACGCGCACCCACGAGACCATTTTGTATTTTTCCGTTTGCTTCGCGACCAAGAGGGTGCGAAACCCGACCAATGGATGCAGGAGAAGCCCCCCACACGTGTTCCTCAGAAACACCCTTTTCGGGGTTACCACCTGTTAACCAACATCTCGGTTGCGGGATTGTATTTGAGTTGTGAAAGTCGGTCAAACGGTTGGTGTCCGTTTGCCCGCAATTTTGTGGTGATTTGATGTGTGCCGCGCTTGCTTTACGTGCCTAGCAGCCGTTAAGTTATTCTGTCCTAATGTTTTTCATTTCCCAACTTGTTTGCTGTTTCGTCGGTGGGAACGAGCAGGGCTACAGCATCGGATCGGCGTCGTTGGCGTGCTTCCTGCTGTTCGGGGCTTTCATGGACGAGTTCTCCGAGTTCAGCGGGAGGCCGTTCCGAACCGTGGATATCGCTGTACCGGAGGTCCTCATCGGGGGCTTGCTAGGGGTAAGGTTGGGGGTGTTGGGACAGTGTTGCGACTGACGCGAAGAATTGGACCGAACGATATGTTCTTCCTACGATTCTGTGGGTTGATTGAACGAAAAACGAGAAGCGTCCTCGTCCTCCCGTGTGTTGCTTCCGTCGCCAGTCGTACAGAGGTTTGGTCGTCGTCGCTCGCTACCCCGGCACACCTCTCTTTGACCGACAAACGAACGACCTTACCCAAACAAACAAGTATCATGCCGTGGGGCTCCGGAGATAAGAAACGTCAGTGGCCAAGGCTTCTTTTCTTGTTTCGTCACACTGTCGAGAACAAGTTATGGCATACTGGTAGAAGTAGATTATAGTGTAGGATCCTCTTCTGTGCTGTGTTCGTTTCACAACTTGTTTTTGATCGTGCACATTTGGAGGTTTGTATTTCCCTTATCCGCGTCGTCGTAACTGGCGAGCCGCGCTGTGTTGCATCTCTTACCTCAGGTGATGATGATTTTCTGGTTCACGGGATTGGCGATCGCGGCGGTGGGGAAAACCGCGGGAGAGGTGGTGCGGGAAGTCAGGCGGCAGCTTAAGGAAAACCCGGGGATCATGGAGTACAAGCAGAAGCCCGACTACCGGGCGTGCGTGAGCCTCGTTACAGAGGTGAGCGCAACAGGGCATGGCAGGGGTTGGCCACCCGGCTGAGGCATGCTTGTACACCCCGTCGGCGTGATGTTTTACGCCTCCTGCGGGACGACAGTATAGATTGATTTTTTGTTTGTGAGGACAAGGTCGGGGATTTCCTGGCAAGAGCCAGACTTGAGCGCATTTTTTTACTACTGTCGCTGTTTTGTTTTGTTCCATGCGACGATGATGCCATGTTAGACGGGGCAAGAAGTAGTTGTTTGTTTGTTTCCGTACTTCGCCTTCGCCCCTTCGACCCTCCCTTCCCTCAACGAAGAGCCTGTCGCTCCCGAGAGTGGGCGTGCCCGTCGTGCAGTATATACACATGGTGTCGTGCAGCCACGCTATCACGCTGCAAAGCTTCCGTCTGTTGGAGTTTTTCGTCCGATGCCCATGGGGCTGGTTGGAGAAGAGTGCACGGTAACGTAGCACAGCAGCGTAGGCCCAGCAAGCACGCGGTGTCTGGTAGCAGTGCCGATGCTGCGCCTGCTGTCTCCTCCAGCATCTCTGCGGCATGGGTACATGCGTTTGTTTAATGACCACCGCCACCTCCTTTCCCGACCACCGAACGCTGCAGGCTGCTCTCACGGAGATGAGGTTCCCCGGAATGCTCTGCGTGGCGATGCCTGTATCGGTGGGGTTAGTCTTCCGATGGGTTGGGAGCATGACGGGGCGACCAATGCTTGGAGCCGAGGCAGGACCTGATACGTTTGTTTTTTTTTGGTTTAGGAAGAAGATCGGACAGTGACGGACGTGTTCGTTCGCTGTCGGTGTTTGCGTCTGGGTGCGAGTTGTCTGTTGGGCGGGCCATTTTCCTGTGTCTTTCATGTCTTTGCGTTCATCCGTCTTGAGTTTGCGTGCTGTTGTCATCAGGCTGTTTCGGCTTTGGATGGGGTCCCTGCCTGCCTCGCTCCCTTCCTGGTTTGAACGTTCTCTCCGGCGGGTTACCGACAGGTGTTGGCGGGGTATCTCATGTTCGGCACCGTGAGCGGCATCATGATGGCGCTGTTCTTGGACAACGTAGGCGGGGCTTGGGATAACGCCAAGAAATACGTCGAGGTGATGACCGTACTATGCACGAGGTTGCTGGCTCGAAGATTTGGATAATTGTTCATACCACGCTGATACGTTTTTTCCGAGTCATGCTGGTATCCTCATGCAAGACCTGGCACCGCTCGCCGCATGGCAGCTTAGCCTACATCTTCCGGTTCATAGATTTGGCCCCTGAAAGGTGGCGAAGCCAGTCCGGCCCTCGTAACATAGATTAACGAATTGTCTCCCTCGAAAAAATCTGGCATTTTGTTCTACAATGTTGAACTATCCCGCTACGATCTACGACCAACTGTGTGGATAAGCGGTGATTTGTCCTGTGATGGTTGCATCAAAGCCGTACCCCGGCCTGCCCCCACTTTGCCCGCTCGCTCACTCAGTTGGGAAATTTCGGAGGGAAGGGCAGCGATGCCCACAAGGCCGCTGTCACGGGAGACACAGTCGGGGACCCCTTCAAGGACACAGCGGGTCCATCGCTGCACGTGGTTATCAAGCTGCTCTCGACCACCATCCTCGTGTTGGGCCCCCTCTTCATCTCCACCGATCTCGCTGAGATCGCGGAATCCAGTCCAAGCATAGACACGTAGGTAGTTCAGCGGTGGTACTTGACGAGACGCCCTTTGATTGCTCACTCTGTCGATGGAAAGAGCGGGGTTGATTTCAATGTTGTTATGCGCAGGGGGTTTGGATGGAGCGGAAATGCTCCTTGATTCATCTCTCTCCGATAGACGTCCACGCAAATCGATGAGGATGGAGGTTAGGGTGGGGGATTCCTCTAAGAGTAGGCCAGGCTTTCCGCCGTTTTCTTTATTTATACTGCGTAGCCGCCCCCCCTAAGTACGGGAAGGTCGGCAAGGGGTGGGTGCGCGGGTGCGTGGGTGCGTGGGTCATGTGCTTTTCGCGCGATGGCAGCAGGGGAGAAGAGGGACAGGCTATTCGGCTTTTGAACTTCTAGTGTGAAGTGTCCTTCGCTGTGGTGCAAATATTCCTGAGTCGCTGCGGAGGTCGTTTTTTTTGGGATTCATCGGGGGGCGGCGGCGGAGGGCGGGGGCGGGGGAGGAATTATATCGGAATCTGATCTAAATGGTTTCTAAGGCTCTTCTTGCTTAGCCTTGTGGCAACATGCGGTGTCCTCAAATCATCTCGTACGTGCGTGATTTTTGTTCACAAGATGATGGGTGATGTTCGTCTGTCTGGACCAAGATGTATTTAAATGTACTGCGATTAGCAAGAAGAAGTCAACAAGTTTGTGATGCACCAGTGTTTTAGTTTTTTTCATGTGTGTTGGTCAGGCGTCGTTTGTTATTTTGTGTGACTCCACAAATGGTTGTCATGTTGTCTTCAATGGAGTGGAATACAGCAGTAACCACAACAGCCAGTCAAAGTTGAGCGGGGGAGTGAGGAGATCAATGTTCTGTCTGTGGGACCGCCGCTCACCGCCTTCGAGTCGCGGCGATCGCATATAGCACACATCAAATGTAGCTGATGGAACAGACGACTTGTCTGCCCTAAATATCTAATATACCGCTGAAGGTGACACAAGATACCACACCCCCTGGACCGATTTTGAAAGCTCGAGCACTCCAAGACAAAAAGGATTGTATAACATCAAAGGAGACGTTTTCGGAAAGTTCTTGACGAGGCAGTCCCAGCGTCGCCAAAATTTCGGCGCCTCCACTCTCCATGCTGTGGGGTAAGGCAGCTTTGAAATGCGAACCAAGAGGTGGTGGTATATTGTGTCACCTACGGGGCTCGTGTACTTGATTTGATGTAAACTACTGTTCTCCAGACTATTTTTTTGTGCCACCAAGTGTGCCAATTTACCATAGACAATAGTTTACCTAGGTGTGCCGTCTAAACCGATCTCCTGGATAGAGTTTTTGTGAGAGCCTCGCACAGGAGGAAAAAATATGAAAGGGAAGCACGCGGCTTGACGGGGGCCCGGCGAATCTTCAACGTCTCCCTCCACGAAATCTCCGTCCTGAATCTTTTTTTTTTTCGTATATCTTTATCTTTCCCTCCCGCCCGCCATCTCGCTGCGGCACACACCACGCACAGCAGCAACCGACGTCTGGGGCCAACCCCAGGGAATAGGGGGAAAGGAAAATGCGATGTGCCTCTTACAGATCGCCTCCACAAAGAGGCAAGAGCGAATTGTGCCCCGATGGCCAAGATCCCCAGCAAGGCGGCCGCAGTGGGGCCGCAGAGAGAGGCACTGGCGCGGGCGATGATCTACCGCGTGCGCCGAGGAGGGGAGGGAGGGGGGGACAAGGTAGGGCGAAGCGAAGCTTCAAGGTCTCAGGGACTTTGTTCGAGGTGAGTCTGCATGTGGGCGGTGAACCGATGGGTGCTATGCCATTGTAAGCCTAGAGACGAAAGCAGCAGTTGACGCTGTTTGTTGTTGCTCTTCGATTGGTCAAGGCTGCTACTGCAGTAGTCTAGACGACACGGGTAACTTGTGGGCCGTAGTATGGTATCTCGTCACTGACGACCCACGGTCAGCCGTGCACTAGTACTACAGCATACGGTTCGACGGTTGCATGCTCTACTGTCTGCCTGGCCCACAAGTGATTCGTAAATCTGCGCCTCCATCAGTGTACACGGACACTTGACGTAATCTACCGGACTGCAACTGTAATTACCTTTTCGCCGCGGCCAGATCTTACCGTTAGATCCAGCACACCCGACCCGCGCGTACTTGTTCTCTTTCCTCTCGGTGGCCTACAGCTTGACGCAATGTACGAGCTTATCAAGCCGATCGGTCTCGGTGCGTATGGTGTGGTGGTATCCGCCCTCAACACCGAGAATGGGGAGAAGGTCGCGATCAAGAAGATCACGAAAGCGTTCGATGATCTCGTCGACGCCAAACGCATCTTGCGAGAGATCACCCTTCTCCGAAAATTCAACCACGAGAACGTGAGTGTTCCTTTACACTCCCGCCTAGACCATTCCGCGAAAAAGAATACTAAGCAAGGACGGCAGAAGGAGGGTGGAGCAGGAATTAACCTCTGAGTGTGACATTCCTCCTGGACGAGCCCGGCTGGGGCGTTCGAAAAGTCATCCACGTTTGTTTGTATGTATGTTTGGTTGTCGACGTTTGTGTTTAGACAAAACTACTGCTGTAATCTACCCTTCAAAGAAAAATGCTCCAACGCCCACTATTATTCATCATGCGTTCAGATAATTAACATCGTGGATATCCTGGTTCCGCCATCGCCGGAGGAGTTTGAAGATGTGTACATCGTGTCCAATCTTATGGAGACCGATCTGCACCGCATAATCAACTCGAAGCAAGAACTCACCCCAGAGCACGTCAAGTATTTCATCTACCAGGTGAGATTGTAGTTGATGCAAGGACGTACAGCAGTACTGCCTTGGAAGGGAAAACTAGTGTGTACATATTTTGAAGTACGTGATAGGGGTTTGGGCCATGCGTTACTTAGGTTAGGTGTTCCAAGACAATCCCACAGACGGCATGACAACGAACGAACGTGGTGCACCCACCTGTGGTTAGATTCGATGCTGCTTCAATTCAACAAAGCAAGGTAAACCAAGTATGTGGAGTACTGTACTCTCGGATGTTGTAGCATACCATATTATTCCTGTATGGAATTTTCCAACCCCGTGCACAACTGATCGACCCGTAATCAACGTTTGTGGTCGCTCTATTTTTGGGGTGGGCTGGTGGCAGATTTTGCGGGCCCTGAAGTACATGCACTCCTCGAACGTTCTTCACCGGGACCTGAAGCCTTCCAACCTTCTGCTCAACTCCAACTGCGAACTCAAGGTCAGAAGAGGATTAGAGGGTTGCTATTTACATGGTACCCGCAGGGTGCGCGCTGTTGGTCTATATCCACACGGGGGCAAACCTCGAAAAGAATTACCATTAAGCTCGTTGATCTTGCCGAAACACTACGCCGTCCAAATGTGCATGTATGGATGACAAACTGTGTTTCTAGTTGTCTACCAAAACCTCCACAGAAGAAGTAATCGGTGCCTATCCGGACCAGTAAGAACCGATTTCTACCCTGGCATACCTGCTCAATCCTTGAACATGTCATTATTTTATGGCGGGCGTGAATCCGCTGTGTATCGAGTACTACTGTATCAAGGCTTGATCTTCTGACAGCTCCTCGGGTGTGTGTTGGACGCGATTCTTCTGTAATGTAGGAAGGTGATGGGGTAATATAGCTTTCGCTTTATCCTCTTACAGTGTCACCGCCCCTGCTGATGTCCCGTTACGAACGCAACTACGTACTTTGAACACATGTCCAAATTTCTAGGTTTGTGACCTAGGCCTGGCACGAGACATTGAGAGTGGCTGTCAGGAGCTGACGGAATACGTGGTGACCCGATGGTATCGCGCTCCGGAGATTATGCTCGGTTGCCATGAGTACAGTAAGGTAAGCGGGGAGAGGAAGGGTACTCATAGTCGTGCATGCCGTAGTCGTTAGACCATTGACCTCGCATCCCTACAAAGCCGGGACGGAGCACGCCGGGTTCTCACCGGACCAGGCTCTCACATCACCAAGCGCGAAGCGCCGTGAGGTGTTCGGCGAGTCGCATGAAGGGTGCGCTGTATCCTGCTAAGGGTGTTCGGCATCTTGTGCTTACTTCCTAGCGCACGGATGACAGCTGCGTATGACTTGGTTTATTTTCTGGTGCATGACTTCCAGAGACAGTTG